CTCCGTGGCATCCCAACAATTACTCCATTCACACACAGAAGAAGGCAATGGCAAACCACTTCTGGATCATCTGCCAAGAACGTATATGAACAGGTCCCAGTCCTAGAAAAGGATGGAAGGATCCTGTTCATATGGACCTGTCGTCAGACACAACACTAAATAATAATAAGAAGTGTAGGTAAAGGTTCAAATATTTTATTATTACGTCGTTTTCATACTTTGGACTGTCTCTGAGGCAATTTTATATGGGACAGGCGAAAATACACAGAGTTTTTAGAAAATTCTAAAGCGAATATTTTGAAATATGTAGATGGAAAGATAACATTAAAACGAATCTTAAAGAATTACTGGGGATATGTAGACCGGATTACTGTGGCTCGCGACGGAGACCATAAATGAAACGAATATAAAACTGAGGAAGAAGACCTGCCAATTTTTCCCCTGTAAATAAAAATGTAAGTTTGTGTAGCTGAAACATTATTTTTACTTGTTAAGACACCTTAAACGATGTATAACGTAATGTTTAAATAGCTGAGGGCGAGTTTAAGAATACGACTGTCAGGTTTGTGTCTGTGCATTGGTCTGTCTGTTTTTATGAAACACTCTTCTTAAACGATTGCAAACATTTCATATGTCAAAGTGAAACTCGATCATCGGCTAAGCACCGCACCGTTTCGAAACATCATCAATGCTCGTCCCTTTCATGTAGCCATGTTGATTGCAAAACATTTCTTCGGCAACTTTGGCTCGTAATAGTCCTGACATTTCCGGTGTCCCTGTTTATTTTTGTGAATTTGCGTCTCGGTGTTGTGCTCGGAGGCTTATGGGAACAATGTCGGATGAATAAGATTTGTTTTTGAGGAGCTGATAGTTTCAACGCTTTGTGTAACCCAAGGATTCATTAATGTGTTCACACGGCACCGCCACGAATCCATTCCGCACATCTTACTTTAAAATCCATTTTAATATTATCATACCATGTACGTCTAGATTTGCAAAATGGTCGTATGTATTATTTCTTATAAGATCCAGAACACCATGCGTAATATGATGTTTAATATTTACTGTTAAAATGTTGATACCGAAGAATCTGGAAAATAACAAGTTATTGCTTATTTATTTATTTATTTATTTGGACACTGCTGTCAACTGTTAGAAGTTAAATAGCGCATCATAAGGTAATGAATTTTTATTATTCTAACTGTTAAAACTATTAATACAGCTGTAGAGATATGGCAGACAAGTTGTAGCCAGTTTTAAGGATTTGTCTCCCACAAAGTTCTTGAACAGAGTGAAAAAGAATTGCGAAAAGTTTTGAGTATGATAACTTGTCTAAAGTTCATGTTCGAATTGAATACGTCCGAAATTAAAGTTAGACCAACTAATATCTGCTGGGTTATCAATATGACCTGGTAAGTAACCACTGCATTAAGAAGGATTTGTATTGTATTTAGAAGGTGATTAATTCTCGTATTTTTCTTATTGTTTCAGGTAAGTTTGTGCAGTCAACATATCCTGCTCGAAAGCCTTTCATGTGTGGATAACGCATTTGTAGTAGAATAAGTAAGTTCTATATAAAATATGATACGTGGCATTTAATATGAATTATTAATGCTTGATATATTTGTGTCAAATACGTTGCTACTAGAACAACGTTCCACCGTGAGCCAGCAATTTCTCATCAACACTGTGACTAGCTGAAGCTTTTTCCTTGGCTACAGTTCAGCTTTATACGTAATCATAGCAATCTGTTAAAGTCAGAGTTCCTTCGTGATATTTCGTAACGTGCTAGTTTTACACGACGTGTTCGTTAGAATCGTTCAGAAAGGCAAGCCGGAGGGCTGCCCCTTGTCGACACTCGTGTATTTTGTCAGTTCCTACAAGCTAATACCGGATGTAAGATTTGATGTTTTCAAAAAAGTGAGTACGAAGATTTCCTTCTTCTGGGTTGTTGCGCTGTGTAGTCTGGTAGATGTTAACCAACGTTTC